CAGTGTACATGAACAACAATAGAACTACCTGAAAAATGAACAAAGATGAAAATGTAAAGCTGATATTCACTAGTACATAAACATGAACAACATAACAGATCATGTCTTTTTTGCATAAAAATTTCAAGAAATGTACATCCAGGATACAAGAAAATGTCCGCCAGAAACAGAATGGAATTGTTAACTAGAGAAAGACAGAAAATTAATTGAAGGAAATGACAAGCATATATATATAAATAAATCAGACACAAATAATAAATAAATTTTATACCTTATGTTTATCAGTCATGAAGGTCCAATCAAAGCTATTGTTCATCTCAAGATCCTCCTATAGTAGATTTAGAAACCATCTCCAAGTCTCTGTGTTCTCTATCTCTACAACGGCCCACGCGATGGGATACATTTCATTATTTGCATCCCGACCCACCGCACTTAAAATCTCACTCTTTAGCATCGCTTTTAGAAAACACTCATCTAGCCCAACAACTCTACGATAGCATGTTAAGAACCCTCTTTTTAAAGCCACAAAGCATACATACATCCTTTGAAAAACTCCAGGTCCATCTTCATTTATCCTTTGTGTTTTTACTATGACCGTGCTCCCTGGATTTGACCTAATGCATTCTTCTGCGTAGTCTCTCACCCTACGAAATTGATCAGTAAAAGACTCATTAACCTTTTTAAGCACCTTTGCAATGCATCTTTTCACCTTGGAAATATTCACATGAATATTAAATTCACTGCGTATTTCTTTTTGTAGTTCCACTCTGCCAATGTTAGGATTTTCCCTTATTTTATTTTTTATACTTTTCTTCAAGCCATTTTTTACTCACAATCGTCAACTTGAACTTCTCATTGCATCTATGCATCCCTATCCAAGTTTTCAGCTGCAAGCATCTATAGTTGTTTTCCCACGACGCAGTGCACTTAAAGGGACCATTACTGGTACAGGTTGCTTGAAGTCTCATAGGCTCATTCTTAACCCACCTAATATCCCTCTTATTATGCACTGCGTAATTAATCAGGGTTGTTTGGAATTGGATGCTATCTTCAAATAACATCTCCACCTCTAGGTCTTTGGATTTAGAGGTAGGATTATATGAAGGATACTTTTGCTTGACTTGAACTTTAGATTGGACCTCACTACCTTGGGAATGTTCATGTTCAGATTCAGAATAACAGCTTGGCGGCTCATCCGAATCATAACACTCACTGCCTTCCTCACCATCCACATCTGAATACAAGTCATCTCTCTACTTATTCTTTACCCATGCAGTCTGTTTATCTCTTAACTCACCATCATTGACATCATTCCCCTAATCTTGCTCCTGCTCCTCTGTAGAGGTATTATCATGACATGATTGTAAAATATCCTCTTCTTCTTCGTCTTGACATTGTGATTTGTCCTTGTTCAGTTCTGTATCATTTCCTTCAACATTTTCACCAGCTGCTTCAACCCTCAGTTCTTTGTTTACTACTTCCTCAACAGTTCCAGTAGAAGGTAAAGCATATTATGAAATCAATTCTGCCTCATCAATACCATGCGCCACATAAATGTCTACTATTCCCCAATTGTTGGCCATTTCAATAAGCTGAAGAGTAGATGCATCATCCCACAATGGCTTTACTAATTCCAGCTTCTCCCCAGGTAATTTAAATGATAAGGATTCCACCTTCTTGTATGCATCCTCCATGATAAACTTTAACAGGTGAGGGTATGATATTCTATCTGGGTCAAGAGTAATCGTATGCACCTCACCGTTAACATAAGACAGCTTTGCACCTTTAAGGAAATTCCCTCCACGGTGTATTCTTAACTCTGCTTCCAAAAACATCGTAAAAAAAGACTCAAATAAGTGTCAACTTACTGAAGCAAAATTTCAATGTAAAGGACCCTATAATTATTTCAGAATTCAAATTTAGTGTTTCTTAATTGGTGAGTAGTCATATTCAAAATCCAAACACTAATTTTTTGGCATATATTGCAAATTCAAACCGCAAATAGCAAACCCTAATACACAGTTAATCCAAATAAGTTTACTTAATTCCTAACCCTTTGAATTTTGTGTTACATCAAGCAAATAGCAAACCCTAATACACGGTTAAACCAACCACTAATTTTTTTTGGCATATTTTGCAAATCCAAACTGCAAATAGCAAGCCCCAATACATGATCAATACTACATACTTGAACGCAGTATCAGCACATCAAAATTACTTCAGACATTGAGGCACTGATATCCCAATGAAATCCCTCTGATTGTGTCGCAATCCATGGAACCTTCGATATCTCAATTATGTCGAAAGCAGCAGTTAAAAAACACAAGAACCCTAACTCGCTGGTAGATGAAGCTAACGATCTCAAATTGGCCGACTAAACATTCACGTAGGAAAAAAATATATCATCATACCATTGTAAAGGGGAACCCTGCTATGTGGAAAAAAATGCCAGATTGGGTAAGAAACCGGAACATGTAAGCCTACCACCAGGTCTCCAAGTGACTGAGTGAGTAACCGGTCATCTTGACCCATTTGACATATTTTACGGAGTAAGTGTATCTGTGTGACTCTTTTTAAAGTTCATGGGCTTATGTGAGGGTTGGACAATAGTTGGAGGGCTTATAAAATGAAAAAAGTCTAAAATTTTAATTGTTGGAGTAATCTTGAGGCCAAAAAACACAAAACACAAATTTTTAATTCATGGAGTTTCTATAAATAACTGATTATTTCATGATCTCATTTTATTTTTTATGAAAGCTGAAAAAACAATTTTTTAACATCAAAATGTGTATTTTTCAATTTCATAATTATTCATACAAAATAACATTCTTTAAAATAATTAAATTAAATGTTCTGATAAGCTTGTACGTAAAAAATATGTTGAGTGTATTTTATTGACATTGCTGGATTGTAGGGAAAAATGATATTGAAAAAATTAAACACTGTTTTCATATCGACGAAGTCCATATTTAAGTTTTTAGATTGCGTACAAATGCAGATGGTCTAAGACACAAAAGAACAAAAGAATGCAAAAAAAAAAGTAAAAAAAAAAAGGAAAATATATGTCGAATCATCTAGTAACTTGCCATAAAGTGTTGTTTTCCGGTGACTTGACCCAAATGATCATTTTTTTAATACTCTCTTGTCCCAAATAAACTTCACACTTTGACTTTAGGGCTTATTTGCAATCACTTAAGAAAAGTGATTTTGGCTTTTTTTAAGAAAAAAAAAACACTTATTTTATCAAACACTACCAACTTTTACTTTCTCGGTTTTCGTGTAGAATCTACTTTTTACTTTTTCTATTACACAAAAAACACTTATTTTTCTAAACACTACCAACTTTTACTACTAATCACTTTTTCCCAAAAAGTACTTTTATTTAAGCACAAGTGATTGCAAACAAAGTGGGATTTTTAAAGTAGATAAAGTGTGGTGGGAGAGAGAAAGTGAGTATACGGTATGTATTACAATAAGGGTATTTTGAACTACGGACCTACCCAAAAAAAAGTGTAAAGTTTATTTGGGACCGGAAAAGTAGTACTCCGTAAGTACATTCATTTTTTTTAAAAGAACGTAAATATATTCATTTAATATAATAGAAGGGTGTATTTGACTTTTTCTCTCTCAAAATTTTAACACATGAATACACCTGTATGGCATTATCATAAACTTAATTAGCACATTAAGATTTCACATATTTTATATACACTGTTAACCCTTCTTTTGATTAACAATTCATTACTTTATTCATTTTCAAAAGATTACGGCCAAAACCTATTCTCATTTTTTATTGATAGACAGGAGACTCATTTTCATATGTTTCTACTTTCTATGTCTAAACAGTAATTAATATCTCAGATAAAAATGAGAAGGCATCACCAACATTAATTATGAGAATTCAAAGAATGGAAACATTAGGGGCATAGGGCATGAAATAGGAGTTGACTTTATCACAGTACATGGTGACAAAATTATTAATTAAAAACCTTTATTATGTTAACGCAAATAATGGAGTGTTTGGAACTGATTCTACTTATGCTTCATTTTTAAAGTAGAAGCAGAATCAGAATCAGTTTTCAGAATCTGGTCTCTCTCGACTTCTAAAAGACCCGATTTTGTGAGTTAATTAGAGTAGCAGAATCACTTCTGAACTTTATAGGAAACACTCCAGCCTCAACTTTTGCTCCCTCAAGGAGCAGAAGCATAGAATTAGATCTAAACACCCCCTATAATGCCTTGGCTGGTCCTTTAGTTAATGCACTCATGAGCTGGTTTCCTATCTCCTTTTCAATCCGTCCCACTAAAAATTGATTCATACTCTCTTCGTCCCTCAAATTTTGTCATCTTTGAATTTTTTGATCAATCATGTTCAACTTTGACCAATTATATATCTTTATAGAAAATTATTTACGGTATAAAAATTATGTGAAAATGTTCTTTGTTAAAAGTATTTTCATAAAAGTATAAAACTTACCACTTTCATAATATTATAATACGTACTAATCAAATCATGGTCCAAACTTTACCATCATTGACTTAAAAAGTCAAAGATGGCAATGTTTTTAAGGGCGGAGGTAGTATTAAATTTAGTACTGTAAAATATATGTATGATTCTAAACCATTATCACTTTATTTTTATTTTACCAATTTAATATCAACCACATAAACCCTTTATTATTGGTTTGCGTGTCACTCTTTCGTGTCTCATTGTTAGTGAAACGAAGGAATTGGTTTGTGTGCCTTTCTCTTGTCTCATTGTTAATGGGACAGAGGAAGTGGGAATACAAAGCCTTAGTATAAGGCTTCGTTACTTTACAATTTACTTCATCTGTATCTATTTACTTGACTCACTTTCCCTTTTGGGACGTATCAAAATAAATGTCTCATTCCCTTTTTGAAAATAAACTCACTCAAAAAGCAGCTACAGTACCACTACAGTACCGTTACAGTACCAAAAATCTCCCACTTTACATATATTTGCCACTATGTGGAAAAGCATGCACGTCAATTAAATAGATACAGAGGGATTTCTTCTTGATTTGGGGATAGATAGACTATATATATGGAGTAATTTCTTCTTGACATAGAGTAATAAAGAACAGAAGGGATATAGGAGGATGGCGTGGGTCTGGACAACAATTGCTTTGTTTGCGGCGGCGGCGGCAGCTCTACTCCTCCACCTTCATAGCTCAGTGAAGAAAAAGAAGAAAGTGGCGCCAGGTCCAAGAGCTCTTCCCATTCTGGGGCACCTTCACCTGCTCGGTAAAAACCCGCATCATGATTTAAGCAAGCTCGCCAAATTGCACGGCCCCATAATGCGTTTGCGGTTCGGGTTTATCGAACACGTCGTCGTTTCCTCCCCGCCGGCGGCACACCTCTTCCTCAACACTCATGACCTGCTCTTCGCCGGCCGGCCACCCCACCAGGCGTCCAACCACATCAATTACGGCCAGATCAACCTCACCTTCGGCCAGTACGGCCCTTACTGGCGCGCCATCCGCAAAATCTGCACGTTGGAGTTGCTCAGCAGTCACAAGATCAGATCTTTTCAATCTGTCAGAACAGAGGAGATGTGCCTTCTCGTCGAATCGCTCAAATCGGCGGCGGAGACGGATCTGAGTGCCCGGGTCGCGGCCATGGCGGCCGACATGAGCTGTAGGACGGTGTTCGGGAAGAAATACGAGTTCAAGGACGTCGATGAGAGGGGATTGAAGGTCGCGGTTAAAGAGACGATGGAGCTATTTGCTCGACCGAATCTTGCGGATTACTTTCCGCCATATCTGGGCTGGGTCGACCTGCAAGGCTTCAGAAGAAGATTGAAAGCCACCGCCGAACTCTTTGATACGTTCCTGGAGAGGATTGTTGATGACCATGAGCAGCGCGATGAGAAGAGGGATTTTGTTGACATTCTGTTGTCTATCTCGAAATCTGGGGAAACTGACTTCCCCTTCAGTCGTCAACATGTCAAGTCTATTTTGCTGGTACTCATTCATATTTTCTTTATCAAATTTATCTTCATTTCAAAGAGAGTCTCAAATCTTTAAAATTAGGTTAAATGGTCAAATAGACTCTTGAATTACCTCAAAAAAGGACAATTCACCTCTTCTTTAAAGTTAGGCGCTGTGAAATTTTTTTAGCATCTTTTTCATTAAGTCTAGTTTATCTATACCCAATTTCAAATAAAAATTCAACTGCGAAAACAGCTGAATAATTTTCTGAAATGTACAGCGTTGTTTAATTGCACAATTATCTTCAAAATTTCATTTGACTGCCTTCCCGATTCAATTTTTTACTCAAATTTGGTATGAGTAAACTAAACTTAATGAAGAAGATGCTAAAAAAATCATCAAAAAATTCGACCGAGAACCGCTCCAATTGGCGACGGTCGGACAATGCCTCCTAAATAAGGGGTGAATTACACTTTTTAAGTTAGTTTTAGGACCTATTTTACCCTTTAGCCTTAAAATTACCACACACTCGATATGATTTGAAAGTACTCCCTAAGTTTAAAATTAGGTAGGTTAAAAATAGTGAAAGAAAATATAAATTATTGAGGGTATGACGGGGAAATAATGAGATAGTGTGATGGAATGAAAAATAAATCCAAAAAAAATAATTGTAATGATGTATTATTTTCAAAATTATTGAGGTACGATGAGAAGATTTTGAAATGAGAGTTTTTATTTGTTACGAACGAAAAAGGAATGTGTAAAGTTTTTTTTGTTACGGAGGCTTTTGATTAGACTCGTTTCAATCCAATTTAAATAGATCAATTCAAATTTTGACAATTGAAGTACACACAACAAACAACTACGTAGTACCATCTTAGATGAGGCCGGTAAAAATGTTTGTAAATTCTAAAATAGAACTGTCATTTTTTTTATTCCGTGGATATGAGTAATTAGTACCATAATTTGGCATTATAGATTTTAAATATAGTCTTTTCCAAAGTTGACATTAATTACTCTTATTTTGGTTTAATGCACCAACCCCCGTGATATAGAAATTCAACGTATTAGCCCTATGTGATTTAAAAATGCGTCAAACTCTCATGAGTTATAATTCATGCACAATCTTCTTTTGTGAACAAACTTAACATTTGAAAATAACTTTTCTTAATATTATGATTGAAATATGCAGTAAATTTGTCAAAATCTCTTAGTTATACAAAAATGTTAATCATTTTCCTTAACATGACAATTAAATTAGTTCATAGAGGGGGTATGCGCAATAATAATTACGTAGTACTACCTTCGCCCAAAAAAATCTCACTGCCTTTTTGGGATGTTCCAAAAAATTCTTTTCATTACTCTTTATGGAAAGGTTTGTGTGGCTACCATTCATTTACTTTTTCTTACTGAACCATTAAGATTAATTTGAGATTGCACCCCATTTTATTGTCCAAATTGTACTTTGCAACCCGTTTTTAAAAATCTTTGTTTTTGCACCCCCATCCCCATATGAAAAGACAAAAACGCCCTCGATCAGGAATATGTTGAAGGCCAACAAATTTGTTAATGGAGGGGCAATTTTGTCTTTTCATATGGGGCTGGGGTGTAAAAAAATTAAAAAACAGGGTGGAAAGTCCAATTTGCACAATAAAATGTGGTGCAAACTCAAATTACCCCTAACCACTATCATATATTTTCATTTTATTTCCACTTTCTTAATTCTGATCCAAGTCAAATCGGTTAGAATTTTGCAGGATGGAGGGAGTATAATATAAGTGAATTTGAATCATAATATACTGAATTTTCATATTACTAGTGTTTAGTGAATAAGTGCATTAAACTCTCTAGAAATAAAAATATGACAGTTTTAATTTTTTTTAGGAATGACAATCTTATTTATGAGCCTTACGTTATAAGGTTATGCTAATTGAATTTTTCCTATATTTATCTACTCCGTCCTTCTTACTTCCCCCGTCTCTTAAAATTTTGTTAAGTTTAACCGGCACAAAAATTAATAAAAAAAATCATGTGAATTAATTGAAACCACAAAATCTTTGCTTGAAAGTGAAGTGACAAAATTAATAGGAGAATCAAAAAATAAACGTTTACAAGTTTTAAAGAACTAACATACTAGCAACAAAGTTTTTGATAGCAGCGTCATTGAAAAGTGTGTGGTTCATACTTCATGGTACCAATTCATCATTTCATTGTCTGCTCGATATTGACAAATACTCCGCAGTACGTTGGAGATCGTGACGACAAATATTATATCCCTAACCTTGGGATGTTTCCATTTCAAAAATAGGTTGGTTAAGAATAGTGAAAGGAGATATGTATCATTGGAGATATGATGGAAAGATAGTGAAATAATGTGATGGAATGAAGGATAAATCCAAAAAATAGGTGTAATGGGGTATTATTTTTAAAATTATTGAGCATATGATGAAAATATCCAGAAATGAAAAGATATTAATGTTACGTCCAAAACAGGAAATCGGTAAGATATTTATGATAAACGGGCCACATAAGGCCACATAATACCAAAAAGAAATGGAATATGGCCGATTCTTCTTAAATTGGGTAGTGGAATTAATTTGGACTTTTTGTAACACACTTACCACATAATTCGATTTTATAATCAAACGTTTCATTATTAATAGCGAAAATAATCAAGCATTTCAGTCCAACTGGTTCTGAGGTTATCGTGTCTAAAAAAATTTTTACATAATACAAACTACTAGTATCTTTTATTACTAACAATGAGGATATTTTTACTTGGACTATAATTTATCTCAGACCAGACTTAGATAATTATTAAAATACAAAGAAACCAGATCAGACCAGACTAGATCAAATCATACCAACAAATTACAGTCTAAGTAAAAACATCTTAATACTGACTTTGGAATAAACTTGTAATCATACCAACAATTTAAATATACACCAAAAGTGATATTGTATTAAACATTTTTTTCACCAAAAATTTAGTCATTTAATTCACCAAAAACTAATATTAAAATATCAAATAAGTGATTGTATTTCCGAATATCATTTATTTGATGATTTTCAATTAGTTTTTGATGTTTTAAATAACTGGATTTCTTGTTAAAAATGGTACTCCGTATTATTTTATTTTTGGCCTTAACATAGAGCATATACTATAATAAGTTGGATTTTTAATTGGTATTATTCTAAATCATTTTCAAAGTATATATTACTTTATTTTTGGTTGATGAGTAATAGTAGGTATTATTTAGAGTTATTTTCCCTTATTAAAATAAAAAGTTTAAGAATTACCCTCCTTTTGATACATCTATTGAGTATAAAATAATAATAACTTATTAGTTCCTATTATTTATTATTTTTGTAATAATGAGTTTTAGAGCTCGTTTGGTGACATTGTTTTTCATAGACACATACTCCATAATTTTTTATTTCGTTCGCTGAGTTGTGTAATAATAAGAAACAGTAAGGTTGAGGTTATCTTTCTGACTATTTTGGCTGAAGTTACCGTAGAAGATCATTTTATCTGTTTTTTCATATAATTTTTTTCTTTATTTCATTAATAAAATATATTTTGATTTTTTTCATAAATCAACAGAATCAGTCAATCCAGCCACTTCAGCCAAAACGTTATAAACTTCAGCAGAATCACCCAATATAGCCAATTTGGTTATTGATAAACGAGATATTAATGTCCGTTAGGTTGTTACTATTTATTTATTTATTTATTTATTTATTTATTTATTTATTTATTTATTTATTTATTTATTTATTTATTTATTTATTTATTTATTTATTTATTTAGTATCTAGACAGTCACCTATGATACTAACATACACTTTTTATATATCTCTTCGCTTAGAACTAGTTTTCTACTGGTGAATAATCATGTCACCTTTCATATAGTTCTTTTCTAATGCCTTGTATGAGTCGCCAAGTATCTTGTAGTCTGATGGCATCACTGTGGTACTTTCAAAGAGGAGGTCATAGGTTCGAATCTCATCCTAGTTCAATGATGTTAACATTAACATTGAGCAGATCCTATATAGATTAGAAAGAATTGTCCAAAAAAATGTCTTGTACGAGTCTTTTTATCAAGGTTTTTATCCCGTCTAGAGAAGCTGAATCAACCTCAAGTCACCTTGACCACTTGACCATTGTTTCAGCACCTACTGCACTCATGGTTGCTCTTCAAAGTTGGTTTACACTCTCCTTGGTGGTAAAGGTTTTCAACCCACACTAATTCAAATCAAAACAAACCAAATCAGATTAGATCAATCTTAAAAATATTAGATTAAATTTTCAATTCAACAAAAAATATCCTAAAACTTACAAAAAAAACTCGATTGTTAGAAGAATCATATTTCGCGTGTCAAGTCGATCTCTTCATTAAGGATTCTTGTGATTCATAAAAGATTTAACTATTTGAGGAAACAATATAATAGATATTTGTTCTAGATTGATATTAATAATTATTTCAATTTGTCATGTACCTTGTGGTTTGATGGCATCACCGTGACACTCCCAAAGAAGGAGATCACAAGTTTGAATCACATCCCAGTTCAAGGATGTTGGCCTTAACATAGAGCATATACTATAATAGGTTAGAAAGCTTTGCTAAAAAAAACTATTGGGAAAAGTACCAAATCTGCCCTCAAACTAACATCAAAAGTGCAAATCACCCCTTACATAGGTGGCTATGTCCGTCCATCGCCATTTGGGGTGGTGCCCGGTGGATTTTTTTGATGAATTGTTTTTAGCATCTTCTTCATTAAGTCTAGTTTACACAAACCAAATTTCAACTAAAATTGGGAAGGCATTGAAATGATTTTCTGAAATATAAACCGTCGTTTAACTGCTCGGTTATCTTCAAAAATTCATTTGACTGCCTTCCCGATTAACTTTTTAGCTCCGATTTGGTATGAGTAAACTAGATTGAATGAAGAAGATGCTCAAAATATTTTATCAAAACATTTCACCGGGAACCGCCCTAAATTGCGACGGCAGGACAGAGCCTCCTATATAAGGGGTGATTTGCACTTTTCATGTTAGTTCGAGGGCTGATTTGCTACTTTTCCCAAAAGTATTTCAATTTCCAATGAGAAAATGTATGAATATGTCCACATCGTATAAGTGTGAGAACAAATATACTCTTGTTCTATTTTTTAAACAAATATACCCCAGAAGTATATGTAGAATTGTCGATATACACTCGAATTTCGAAAAAGTATAAAAACACCCCTAATATTTCTACAAAGGAGCACATTTACTCTTATTTACTTTAAATAAATAAAATAAATTTTTAAAAAATAAAATAAATAAATTATAAATTTGAGATTGAAAAAATAACAAATTAATGAATTAAAAATAAAAATTTATGTTTATGTTAAAAATTAAAATGTTAACTCTTTAAATTTAAATTAAAAAATTATTATTTTTCCGTTTTAAATAACACAATTCAAATTCATTAATATTAATTTTAGTATTCTTGTGAAGTTTTGAACACATTGTTACATTTTTTGAAATAACATTCTTTGATTTTGTTTAACCTTAGTAAAATTAAATTCACTATTTTGTATTTTTGGACACTTTATCATTGCACAAAATATGTAATTATACAGTTCAAAGAATACAAAAAATTAATGATTTTTTTTTTTACATTGCAACAAATATGTTAACGCTTTTCACAAAGACTCTTAAAATGTATAGTAAGGTTTTGAAACAATATTTAATACTAACGATATTAAATTGTGAAATGAATACAAAAAGGGAGAATTGGAAACAAGTAGATTTTTAATTTTTGTTACTTTTCAATTTCGAATTTAGAATTTATTTTTGGTTTTTTTTTTTAAATTTATGTTATTTATTTAAAGTCAATAAGGATAAATTTGCTCCTTTATAGAACATGAGAGGTATTGTGCAAATTTTAAAAGTTCAGGGGTATATATGCATTCCCACTTATACTTCAGAGGTATATTTGTTCCATAAAATGGAACAATGATATATTTATTCTCACACTCATATTACAAGAGTATATTTGTACCCTTTCCCATTTATATCATACATGTCTATAAGTAATCATTTGTTTTAAAAATGAAATAATAACATATTTATGACTAGAAAATGTGGTGGATAAAATGTGTCATCTTAAGTGCAGTGACTATAGTAGTAACTTTTAGTCATTATTTTTACCCTCAAGTGAGCATGGCGTTATAATGATAGTACATTTAGTCATATTTTTATTAATAAATTTTATTTCATTAATTTTATGAAAACCTCTTAATTAAAATTGAGCGTTTTTAAATTTATAAGCCTTATACATTTGGGCTAGGAAAGACCCTCCACAATATATATAATAGTAGTAGCCATAATAATACTCCGTAATATTATTACTATTATTATAATTAATAATTCAATCATTCTTATCATATAAATGCAAGAAATAATATTTAATACAGAGTATTAATATTTGAAATATATGACTAATAACATAGTTTATGATATAGTTTTGGAGCGTTTAAACTTGATTTGGTATTATCATGTGTATTTTATAGTATTATTACTCCCTAAGTCCTGCTTATATATCTTTGTTGACGTCAAACATGGACAATCTAGGAAAAGATCGCACATGCATGTTAAGTTTTACTGGGAAATGAATGAAGTTTCCTTTTATACGCGCCAAATCATTTCATGTATGTGATTGAAAATAAAAATAAGACAAAAGATTCTTTAAAAATAATTCCCTGGAGTATATATTTATATTAGTAAATAGTAATAAGAGAAATATAAGAAATCAAATACTAAGAACTCAATACTTGTTAAGTTTAATTAAAAAAATATTAAATACTAGTTATACGAGAATTTGAAAACTATTAGAGAGTATGTAACAAAAATACTCATTGAATAAAGTAAAGATCTATTCAAACATTTTGATTGATTATTTGTAAATCATGATTAGTAATTGCTAAATATTGTACGGAGTATCAAACTTCACATAAAATATATGTTTCAACATTTTATTTGAATATTTATTATAGAAATAATAATTATTTCGCAATTGTTATAATTTTTAAATTGTAATTATAATATTTTTGGTAGTAAAAGAACGATATTGAAGATAATAAAAGTCAAAACTATATGTTAGTATATTGGCTTGCGGGCCAACCCACAACCCGTTGGGCCAACCCACTTAAACCCGTAACCCATTGGGCCAACCCACTTAAACCCGCACTAAATGGGTTTAAACGGGTCAGCCCACGGGTTTCGGCCCATTTATTTTGACGGATCTGGGTGGGGTTGATGCACCTGTTGAGAAATGTATGAGTTATCATTAGTCTAGGAATTACTGTCCTTATTGTTTTTTAGTCTCCTTACTTTTACTAACTCCGTCCCAATATGTTTAGCCAAATCTCAAAATTTGGATCATGGTTTTGATTAGTACAATATTATGAAAATTATAAATTTTATACTTTTATGAAAGTACTTTTCACAAAGAACATTTTTCATATCATTTTTATATTATAGTTGTAAATAATATTCAATAAATATATATATTATTGGTCAAAGTTTTGGAAACGGCTAATACGTAGTACTATGTAAAAAGTCTTTCGTGCATGTTGTGATGTTCATGACTTCATGTTGTAATTGATGCTTGTCTATTCAGTTATACGTAGTATTTATTTATCTTTTCGCTATCTAGACAGTCGCCTATGATACTGAGCAGAATCTTTTTAGGTATCTATTCCCTTGTACCTAGTTTTCTATAAATATGTACTTGTACTAATATCAATAATAAAGTTCAGAAAAGTTCATATATACTTTTGGCTTGATTTGGCAATTTAATACAACTATTACGGAGTATGTTTTTGTTAGGTTGGACCTACCAATATGAAGAAACCAACGAGAGGACTAACAAATTAGGTTTGATCAAGTATTTATTTGCAAGTATGCAACTAATTGAGGAATTATTTCCTAACATCTGAATTTGCACTTTTACTTGCATGAAATTCAAAAGTAAAATTCTACAAACACTAGGAAGAATAGCTAATTATTCAAAAATAAAAATAAAAAAATGGAGAAAAAACTCTAGACCGAACACGGAGAAGAGGCTATGATGCGACTATGAAGATGCTTTTAATTGGACTGATTTCGATCTCAAATTAAACAACATCATACTAAATTAGTTAAACAGATTAGACCAGATCATACTCGGTCAAATTAGACCAAACCAGATAAGATTTTGGCAATTGTAAAATACATGTAAAATATCTACCAGACCCAAATTGGATATTGAAATCAAACCAGACCTGACTAGATCTACTTTAAATAGATCAATCCCAGAAAATTTCAATTATATAAAACATGCTAAACCTTATAATTCGCGGGTCAAGTCGTTCTCTTCGTTAAGGATTCTTGTCATCTTGTGATTCATGAAGGATTTGAGTATTTGACTATTTGAGCAATCAATATAGTAGCTATTTGGACCGAATTGATATTTATACTTATTTCAATTACTAATCCTTCATACATGTCTTTAACTAATAATTTGTTTTTAAAATAAAATAATTACTCCCTCCGTCCCTAAATAAACTTCCATTTCGCTTTTCGAGAGTCAACTTAAATCACACTTAAAGTCTTACTTTATATATCAAAAATTTATAAAAATTGAATTATTTTTTTGCAGGCTTTGTAGCGGGTTTAATGTAGTTTCTGAATATGTAAATTTTATTTACTAAAAATAATCCGAGTTTTCACAGGGATCATTTAACTTTATCGCTGGTCAAACTTCGTAACCCGTAATTGGAAGTTTTATTAGGGACGGAGGTAGTACATCTTTATGGATAAAAATATGGTGAATAAAAATGTGACAACTTAAATGTAGTGACTATACTAGGAACTTTAGTCAATATTTTTGTGTTCACTTTTTATACTTAATTAAGTGACCATGATGTTATCATAATCGAAAAAGTGACCATGACAGTATAGTAGATTTAGTCATATTTTTATCAATAAATTTTATTTCAGTATTTTTCAAAGCCTCTTAAAATTGAGCCTTTTAAATTTTGAAACCTTGTACATTTGGGCTAGCAAACACCCTTAGGTAAAGCACAATAAATATAATAGTAGTAGGAATAATAATACTCCGTACTATTATTACTATTATTGTAATTAAAATAACAATCATTATTGTCATCATATTAATGCAAGTAATAACATTTAATATTAATATTTGAAATTTAATATAGCAATAACATTTTTTATAATATAGTTTTGGAATTTTTAACTTGATTTGGTATTATCATGTAGTCCGTATATTTTACTCCCTCAGTCTCGTATTTAAGTTCTCACTTTCCTTTTTTGGATGTCTCAAACAAATTCACACTTCCTTATTTGGCAAACAAATCTATACCAAAATAGTGCCAAAATAGTGCAAAACAATGTAAAATAATGTAAAACAATGTCAAAATGGTGCACTCTACAGTAAAATTTACCCCTCAGTAAATTTATTCCCTTAATATGTGTGAAGTCAAACTGGGAACTTAAATACGGGACGGAAGGAGTATATTATTATTACTCCACAAGTCGTACTTATCTATCTTTGTTGACGTCAACCTTGGATAATCTAAGTAGAGATCACATATGTTTTACTTTTCACTAGGGAATGAATGAAGTTTCCTTTTATACGTGCCAAATCATGTCATATATATGATCAAATGTCAAAATTTTATGTCCTCTATCTCTACTATATTTGTAAACTATGTTATATCTTATTCTATATTTGTATGTGTAGGATATGTTTATAACATCTATGGACACTTCAGCGACTGTAATTGACTGGACGATTTGTGAAATCATAAAACACCCGCAAGTCCTGAAGAAAGTCCAACAAGAACTAGAAAGCAATGTTGGACTAGATAGGATGGTGGATGAATCAGATTTAGAAAAGTTGAAATACTTAGAAATGGTCATCAAAGAATCCCTTAGGCTCCATCCTGTGGCACCACTTCTTCTCCCTCATGAGGCAAGGGAAGACTGTGTGGTTGATGGTTTTGACATACCAAAAGGAGCACGAATCATTGTGAATGTTTGGGCGATTGGGCATGACCCAAATGTATGGGCTGATCCTGAGAAATTCATCCCAGAGAGATTTGAAGGTCTCAATATAGACTACAAAGGACAACATTATGAACTCATTCCTTTTGGTTCGGGAAGAAGAATGTGTCCTGGCTTACAACTTGGAATCACTACGGTCAAGTTAGTGATAGCACAATTAGTGCATTGCTTTGATTGGGAACTTCCAAAGAGTATGTCACCGGAAGAAATAGACATGACCGAGGAGTTTGGTCTTGTGGCAACTCGTGCCAATCACTTGATGGTTGTGCCTAAATATCGATTGTGTATTTGATCCAATTAATTCATGGTAAAGCAAGCATGTCTTCTATTGTCACGTTCTGGACCAACCAATGACAATAGACTAACATATATGGGAATATTGTATATGAATAAGGGAAAGCATATATTGCCTTTGTCCAATAAAACATGACCAAAGTTGAATTGCATGTAGAATAATAAAGTAAAATATGTGTGATTGAGATTTGTGCAAAGGAGAAAAGAAAAAATTTATCCACATATTTTTTACTTTAAATCGAAATGATATTTTTTTTGGGATGATCCAAAAAGGAAATTTGGTCAAGTTTTATGGAACGGAGGGAGTAGTATTCTTCGACAAGAGATGAATATGACTTGTGCTCACTACTTGAATAATGTAACTAGTGTCTCAACCCTTATTCAAAGCATGTGTAATGTGTTTCAATGTAGGAGCCCGTGTGCTAGTTCACACATTAAAGTTTTACATGTGAAATAATTGTATGTAAAGTACATGGTTGTAATTAGTTTGCATGTAAAATAAAATTACATTGTTTGACAATCTATGTAATCTATTTTTAAATTACGCGCAAACTCTTTACAACTTCATATCGAGTGCATCCTTTTTTTTGTGGCATATGTACTGTTCAGTGGTCTTCTCCTTGCCTTGCCTTTGTTATGCTTTACATATTTGATGGGAACTCTAGTTTTTTTTTTAAATATACTTAAGGAGAACTTTGTATTGTCTTGAGCTATGGCCGCAAACCTTTTTTTGGTTCTGCTCGTTGCACAGTTACCCAACGTAATACTATCTATAATTGTTTCTTCTTTTGTAAAAAAAATAAAGAGTATTAGATCCAGAATTGTACTTGCTGCCAAACTGCAGTCTACATTAAAAGCTTCGCCCACCAAACTCCAGTCTAGGTTAGAAATTGTAATTGATTTGATTTGGCAGATGCTCAAGGCCTAGTTCTTTCAAAGTGTACGTAGATGGAAATCATGCCTAATCTGGAGGGAGAGACATCGCCACATCGGGCTATGAACCCAACTATGAATAAATGGGTGGTAGGGGTAAGCTGACCGGGAATAACCTTGTAATGGTGTAGGATATTCGGAAATGCGGGGTGGAGGAAAAAACGAAGGCCTATTTCAAGGCAAGCAAGGTGAACCCCAAAATGAAGGGGAGAGGGGGGCTCGACGATGTTCTTCCCCGGAGTAGGGTGAGAACCGATGACACTAGGCCCGGCAAGGGCCACCGTCTCATTAAATTCGGAGTCGGAAATGGCGGTGGCCAGTACCTCGCGGGCAAAATCAGCGGAGAGATAGAAGTGAGTGTTTACCCCCGACAGTCCACCGGAATTTTGGGCCGGTTTGGACTGGCCCCGTCGTCAGGGAAAATGATATGAAGGGGAACATAATTGGAAGAAGACATGAATACACCGACCTAGGAAGAATGGTTGGGACGGCGAAGGGAGCTTTTCTTATCTAGGGTTTGTGGAATGCACACTCTCAAAGGAATAGAAGGTTTGCACGAATGAAAAAGTGTAACTTTTATAGTTGGGACCTCCTTTCATAGTTGGGACCCCAACGCCCTTCGAAGTGATCTGGAACCGCTATCAAGTCACTCCAGTGCTGAAGACGGGAAGCCGAAGTAGAGATTTGTGAAATTGGACACGTGTCAGTGGCCTTTAATGCAAAACGATGCCACTGACCAAAAGGGGGAATTCAAAACTCAAACCTCGATACTCTCGTAAAATCAAGCTTGACTTATGTTAGAGAGTAGGGGGCTCGTGATGGTACCATGGATCATAGTCATGGCCCAATGTTAAAATGAAGCACACCAACGGGACAACTCACTCATTAGGATTAATGACTAATAATAGCTATTGGGCCTAATTAGGAATCCGACCCGCGAAAGGAACCCACAACCAAGCCAATCTGGACAGCAGAACTCGAGCCCGGGCGGGATTCTAGCGAGGTCGAATTCATCCTAGGTCTTATGTGGCAGGCTATCATTTGAGCATAGCTATCTGGCAGTGGCAAGGAATAATGAAAGAAACGTAGACCAAGAGGAACAATGATTACACCACGTTCGAGGCGTTATATGACTGTTGTTATGATTAAGTGTATTAAATGTATCAGTTTCCTCTTGGAATACTATAACCCAAGGTCTATAAATATTTCATGTACACACTCCAGAAGGGATCCACACTTTGGGAATAATAATATTGTCTTAGACTGCCTAAATTTTATATGCTCTCGTAGATTAAGCTCTTGTAGTTGGAATTAAACTCCATCAAGATAAAAATCAGGATGTTTCAACCATTGACTATTTCACTTTAGTGCCAGGGTCATTAGGGTCATTGCCTTGTGTGAGACTTGTAGAATTGGAAGCAGTATTTATGAGAGATTCAAACAATGATGATAAATGTGAATGACTCCTTTGTTCACAAAACTAGGCCTGGGACCGGTTCGTTTCCTAGGCAAAATATGTGGATCCGTTTGAAAATATGAAATTTTACTAACGGTTCGGTTCTTATAAATTATTTTAAAGAACCGAGAAGGAACCGAACCGTTAAGAACGGTTCGGTTCTTGTCATTTAACGGTTCCTAGTTTTTGAAAAAATTCTTACAAATCACGACTAAATTTTTGCCAAAAAGACATTCAACGTTGCAAATCTCAATACATATATGTTGAACCAGTTAAAGAGAATAATAATTTTAAATACTCTGGACCTTCCGAGTTCCGACCAGCTGGAGTTTGGACCTAATGAGAGGCATAAGAAGCCTAAGAGAACCGTTTGAAATAAGTAATAGTTTTAAATAGTTAAATAAATAAACTAAAATAATGAATATAATATAAAAATAAATAAGAAAATATACATTACAATATATATATTCATAAAAAATATATTTAATTTTAATTATTATATATAACGGTTCCTTAACGGTTCCTGGTACATATTTTTTTCAGGAACCGAGAACCGAACCGTTAATAAAAATTAGGAACCGAACCGTTAACAAATAACTAATAAATGTTGGAACCGAACCGAACCGGGTCATAACGGTTCGGTCCGGTTCGGCTCTCCGGTTCTTGGTTCCAAAGTCTCAGCCCTACACAAAACGTTACCCCTTCTCGAGCTAGAGATGTCATCATAATGGTTGAAGGTCATATTACTCACTATAAGAGGTAGACCTCCTGGTGGTTTAATAAAATTTAGTCCTTGGGAAAGAAAAAATCATTTTGGTTGATATACATTTTGTATGTAATTTTCTGTGTGCAAACAGACAACATGTACATCTCCTAATTGCACGTGCACATAGCTAGCTCGTGTAGAAGTTTTCTACATTGGAGGTGTTCTTCTAAGGTAGGTCTAAAACTTAATGAATTTTTGTTATCATATTCTCCACAAAGTGTAGGTTATGTCCTCCAAATTTCACCTTAAAATTCAATCGGGAAGTCAGTTAACTAAATTATTGACAAAAAATGCATGTTTTATGTATAAAAATAACTGTACAATTTAAAAAAAGAAATAAGTGATTTCCCAATTAGATTTTAATTTGAAATTTGGTAGGCATAATATACATTTCAGGAAGAGCATTCTTAGAAAATTTCATCAAAAAATTCTTCGTGAAAGCTCCTCAATTGAGAGCTAAACTTTTGACAATTAAACCTGCCTCACATGAATATTTTCCCTTAACATATTAACCTGCAATTTAATTGTCTTAAATCATGCTAAAAAGAAAAGGATGAAATCCAGACACCAATTAGAAATCAAATCCGGACTCCTCCGCTGACTGTGACGAACCACTGCAGTACTGCTCACTGGCTCTTAATCGCCGCCGGTGACGGTCGCCGTTCACGCCATGAAGCGTCCACGTCTTCTTTTACAGATCTTTCTTCTCATCCTTCTGGCAGTTCCCGCCTTCTCATGGAAGAAAGAAGAATTCCGGAATTGCAATCAGACCCCCTTCTGTAAACGCGCCCGTTCGCGCATGCCTGGAACCTGTAATCTACGCGCATCAGATGTCTTTATTTCCGACGGAAATCTCGTCGCCAAGCTCATTCCGAAAGAAGCGAGCTCGGAGAACGAAGATCCAGCCAAGCCGCTAGTTCTGTCCATCTCAGCGTATCAAGATGGTATAATGAGGTTGAAGATCAACGAGGACCCAACTTTGGACCCGCCTAAGAAGAGATTCGAAGTTCCAGACGTTATAGTGGATGATTTTCCGAGCAAAAGGCTTTGGTTACAGAGAATCAAGGAGGAGAGGATCAACGGAGATTCAGCTATTTCATCTGTGGTTTACTTGTCCGATGGGTATGAGGGGGTGCTTAGGCACGATCCTTTCGAGGTTTATGTAAGAGAGAAGGGTAGTGGGAAGAGAGTACTTTCCATAAACTCAAACGGATTGTTTGATTTCGAGCAACTGAGGAAGAAGCAGGAAGGGGAAGAATGGGAGGAAAGGTTTCGAAGCCACACTGATGCAAGACCGCACGGACCTCAATCCATTAGTTTCGATGTTTCATTTTATGGAGCAGATCATGTTTATGGCATTCCTGAGCACGCTACAAGTCTTGCTCTGAAGCCCACCAGAGGTCCTGAAGTAGATGAGTCCTCCGAACCATACAGGCTCTTCAATCTGGATGTATTTGAGTTCATCTCAGATTCTCCATTTGGACTTTATGGATCGATCCCCTTCATGATTTCACACGGGAAAGCTCGAGGAAGTTCAGGATTCTTTTGGCTTAATGCAGCGGAGATGCAGATTGATGTATTGAGCTCTGGTTGGAATTCAAATGAATCTTCAAACCTTGTTCTTCCATCAGACAAGGAAAGGATTGATACCTTTTGGATGAGTGAGGCTGGTGTTGTGGATGCCTTCTTTTTTATAGGTCCAGGGCCTAAAGATGTGGTTAGACAGTATAGTAGTGTGACAGGAACATCCTCAATGCCCCAGATGTTTGCTATAGCTTATCATCAATGCAGATGGAATTACAGGGACGAGGAGGATGTTTATAATGTTGATTCAAAATTTGATGAACATGATATCCCCTATGATGTTTTGTGGCTTGATATCGAGCACACGGATGGGAAAAAGTACTTTACATGGGACAAGGTGTTGTTTCCCAACCCGGAAGAGATGCAGCGGAAGTTGGCTTCAAAAGGAAGACACATGGTTACTATTGTTGACCCTCATATAAAGAGGGACGACTCATACTATATTCACAAGGAGGCTTCTGAGAAAGGGTATTATGTCAAGGATGGTACGGGTAAGGATTATGATGGTTGGTGCTGGCCTGGTTCATCGTCTTACATTGACGTGCTGAATCCAGAGGTGAGATCATGGTGGGCCGATAAGTATTCTCTAGAGAACTATGTTGGTTCAACCCCATACTTGTATATCTGGAATGACATGAACGAGCCTTCTGTCTTTAATGGTCCAGAGGTATGCACTATTGATTATTGCTTCACATTGTGTTAATTATTTCTTTTGTATTGGTCTTTAGTGTCCAAAATTTTGGTTTAGCTACCAAATTTGACATGCATTATTTGATATACTTAAGGAAAGAAGAGTTAATGAATGAG